GCCGGGATTTTAAACTAGGCTAGGACACGCCATTGTCTGCATAGGTTAAGGAATTTTTTCAAAAGAGGGAGGAGGTTGGGCTACATCCCAGCGGGGGGTGAGGGGCAAAAGGTTCCATTTGTCTCCCACTTAGGAAACTTGGGGAGAAGTGGGGGGGGGGGGGTATTTTGCCATGCCTGATTTATTCATTGTTGACATTTGTTCAAATGAATTCAGAACTTCCCTCAAAGGACCTCCCAGCACTGCTAGTACTAACTTAGTACTTGGAACCCTTAGCAGAAACAACTACAAAGCGGGGCAAGTCCATCACTTGTTAAAATCGATCAAATAGTTTTTACTAATTTGTCTCTTGATTTTGCAATTGGAGCTTGGGGTACTGCATTTTTTCAGTACCTTTAGTACTCTTTCAGTTCCAGAGGTCTTCAAGAGGCACACCCTTGGCCCGAGACGAGTACCTCATTTGCACGGATTAATTAGGTACTTCCCTAAACATACTTTTCGATACTTCCAGTAGAAACTGAGCACTGGAGACCATTAAGGGGAAGGTAATGAAGACAGCCCAGAACTACCGGTAACTGAAACCGAGAAGCTGAAGCGAGAGCGAGGAACGGGAATCCAATCTCCTTATTGCTTCCATCTAAATTTGAATATGCAGATGGTATCAACCTGTGAGCGAGGGACCTCATTCATAATTGCACAGAGGAAAGGGGGGATTACTCGCTGTAATTCGGGAAAAGCAATGCCCGAAAGAGCACGTTCAGGAGTGTAGAGAAATCTTGGGTAATTAGGAATTCCTTAGGAAGAGGGGAGATCGTATCCCGTGGAAGATGAGACGAGACAGCGACACCGCGAACCTGATGACGGCGCTAATGCCACGCAATCCTCCTCTGCAGTCGCAGCTTTTCATTCTTCCTCAAAAGCCTCTTCTGGATTGACCCAGAAGTTACCCAGTTTTCTTTTTTGATCGTGTTGAGTCCTACGGCTACGTTTATGTTAAATTTCGTCTCAAAACTTCCCATAGTTTTCGAGATTTTTGGGGGAACTTACGTACTCATGTACTTACATCCATCCGTGCATTTAAGAGGATGCGACCAATCCTTTCGTTTTTAAGACGCAGCACGGGAAGATCCCGAGAGAAAGAGAGATCGGGTTATGAGAAAAAAGCGGAATGAGCGAGCACGTGTGAGCCCCGAGGACATGACGTCATCTCAGCCCCGAATCCTCATTGGTCCGACCCATACACCTCCTCCTCGTCACCCACGTACCGTACACCATGCAACGAAGAATCACATCCACATGGTGCACCCGCACTCTATTGGATGTTTACCTTCTCGTTTGTGAGGATCCGCTCCCACCATCCAACAGGTTTGTGTGTTCTACCAAAAAAGTTTCGGCCATGGCCGTGTTCGAGAGGAAAGATTTTCTTTCCCTCTCACTTCTGTTTTCCTCTCTTCTCGATTCCCCGAGATCCGGATGAAAGCATGATCCTCTTACGATGACTTTTGAATCGACTCTCCTTCATTTTATTCTCGTTCCCTCCTCTTCACTCGCTAAATGCCCCTTTTCATACCCTTCGCCTACTCGTTTATTTATGTTTATGGATTTGAAGAAAGCGGACCTCTGTCGAACAGGAATCGAGAAGAGGATGTTGAAACACGTGGGATCGACTAGCCCGGTTCGATCCCAAAATGGACGGAGATGGAATAAAGAAGAGAAAGAGAGTCTGGTGTGCGACCCCATGATTTCTTCATCCCGATGTTCCAGTTATTCGAGCCTCTGCGACGGCGCTTCCCTAGTTTCCACGGTGAAAAGCCAACCTTCACCCGTGAGTTCCACATCACCTCTATCTGAAGAAGCGTGAAATGATGGCTCTCTCTCTCAATTGTGTCTTGACCGACATCTTTCATCTTTCATCTTTCCCTTTTTCTTTCTCACGGAGGGGGGGGGAATGGATATTCCTTTCCTTCCTCTTTCTCGTCCCAAATCTTGAAAGCTGGGTAGCGGGTGAGTGCTCACGAAGCAATGAATGAAAGAGAGTGGGACCTAAGGACATCCAAGAGAGAGGGGGTAGGAATTCATCATTTGTCCGTAAGACTCAGTTTCAGGGGAGAGGGATAATCTGGGATGGGATGGGATAACCCCCCCTTCTCCCTTTGTCATGACTCATGTTCGTGACAGATGGATGGCTTTGTAGAGAAAGAGAGGGCCAAGACGCCACTGCAATGGAGGCACAAAGAGAAGTCTCTCTGGCTCGTGGTCAAGAGAAAGACTCTACCGTGAGGCCTCGATGAGGCACTTAGTATGCACGAAATGAGCGAATCCTGAAACGCAGCCCCCAGAAGCGTGGGAAGAGTCGGGGGAAAAAAGGAAGCCACAATAAGCATTTCCTCCCTACCTCATCAGATTTCTTTCGGTTTTTCGGGTTGTTTCCCTTCCCCCTTTTTCCTCGTCAGATGCCAGACTCGTGAGAGAAGGAGGTGGAAATGGTCTCTCTCCCTCTCGGGGGAATCACTCCGTTACGGTGTCTTTCTTCCTTTCTCATCCGAGCACTTCCCCCATTGCGACAGGAGGGATACGCGATACCCAATGCTTTTCCAATCGTCAGGCTGCCATTCCCTGCAACCACGTTTTCCATGCCTTCTCATTTTCAAGGATCGGTTTGGGATGTTGCGAGGCATTAAGCACGAATTAACATCCCAAGTCGAGGCCGAGCTTTCTCCTATCCCCAAATCCTAGAAAGACCTATTCCTGTAAGGAAAAATATTTTTTCGGGTCCCTTTCTTGCTTATATTTATTAATTTATTTAATTTGTTATTATCCCCGCGATATCCATCCATTTCTTTTCTTGAACCAATATCCCCGTTCGCTACTGACCAGCCCTATTCTATTTCTTCTCTCCGCGAATGCTACATATAGTTCCCCGACATCTCCCCAAACGTGTCTATCTTACTTAGAGGAAAAGGGCAGGACTCGAACCTTCAACCTTTAGAATACACTGCTACGCTTCGATAGATGTATCACAAAATGAGAAAGTATGCTCCGACTACCTCGTATATGCATGACCCGATCCGAATAATCGCGAGCAATTCCTGACGTGCCATATCCTCCTCGTGAGACTTAGGCAAAACGTTTTTCTAATAAAAAGTGCAACGCAGGTACTACTTATTGGCAAATGCAGTCGAACTTGGTTATAGCGTCGAATAAGGCCTGGTCCCGGCGTAAAGCCCATCAGATTAGAGTATTTATATATCCTCACGCCTTTAGTTATTGCGAGATCCTCGGTTATAGCCATGTCAATTTTCGTCCCACTGACAAAATTAAACACGTCGTGAAGTTATTAATTTCGTGGTTAAGTTCAGCAATAACTGAAAATTCCATTGTTCAGCACAATAATAATAATAATAAACCTCTAACTTCCTTTTCCTGGAATTTGCATTCCTGGAGGGTTTCTCCTGTTCACGCAATGTGCGTTAGGATGGAGGAAATCTTAATCTTCGTTTGCTATTCGTAGTTCTTGTTGACATTGGTGTTTTTAAACGCAAAAGGGCAAGCCTTCATGATGGAGCAAAGAGATAGATTTGATAGAAAATGAGAGAATTTTAGCAGGCGTCGCTCGTGAACATGAACTTCCGAACTCGTTTCTTTCCACAATATGAGAAATAGCGACCCCGGTTATAACAAACTTCGGCTATAACTACGTTTTTTTTGTCCCTTCGATGACGTTATAACGGGGGGTTCAACAATTATCATCATCTTAAAGCCCAGGCGTCCAAGTATGAAACTCGGTTTAAATAACTGGCAGTCAGCCCATGCGAAAATGCGCCCACCGCCCATTAGGGGGGATTCTTCCCCGTCGGCATGTTTGCTTGGCCTCGAGCCAAACATTGCGGGATATTCGAATCGAAGATGTAAACGAGCCGAGAGGACGACGGCGATGATGATGGAGTGGGAACGGTGGACATCCTCCAGACCCAATCCGAGTCACCCGGACGTTTTCCCTCGATTGCATCGCATTTCTGGTAGCTGGAGCGTGTTTGCGTTGCTCGTCCTTAATCCATCCGAGGAAGCGGACGCGGTAATTACAGATATCCTCATCAAATATCACGCATTCCCAAAAGGGGAGGAGGGACGGGAAGAACGGAATGGCTGTTTCGAGAAGGAAGGAAGGCAGGTTTGGAAATGAGGTGGGAAATTCCGCGGGTCTTTTCCCTTCGCAACAGGAAGAGTAAGAGAACAGACCGACTGACTAAAATTACCTAGGTCTGGGATAATCGTGGACTCGAGGGTCGTTTTCCCCTTCCGGTTTTCGGGATCGGAATGGGTTTTCCTCCTAATCCTACACAATCCGTGTGCCTTGTGTCTTTCCCCTATATATATTCCATCCCCTAGAGGAACAAAAAAAAGAGAAGAAAGAAGGGAGAGGAATGAATTTTCTCCCTCTATCAACTGAATCCCAGTTGATCCACGAAAAGCCACCTTCGTACTCATACCGTATGGAAATCGAGGACCGAGATGAGAAATCAGCGCTGGAGAAAATCCCCGCAGACTTTTACGATCCAGTGCTTCGTCATACCTATACTGTGCTCACAGGCGAATGATCCATTTTCTACAATGGAGGCCCAGGATTCCAATTACGGCTTATAATAGGTGTATAATGGTGGCTTCCTCGAAGAACGAGTAAAGAACAGAGGAGGAAAGTGGAACTGATGCAACCGCGTCTTTTGGGTTTCCTCCTCTTCTTTTGATACGAGAATCTGACACGTCCTGCGTAGATGAAGAGGATGGCGATGATGAAGATCTACGCGAGATGTCTTCGACCGGACGTGGAATACAAGACCCTTTTGATCGGAGGAGAGACGACGAGTGGAGAAGTGATTCGGACGCTGATCCAAAAATGTCGGCTTCCATTCAACGATCCCAATCTCTACATCCTCACCATGGAAGTCGGTCTCAAACGAGGGGGTAAGAGTGCCAAGTTCGCAGGGCCCTAAAAAGTGCTCGATCGCGGCGCGAGATTGAGATACCCCGCCCCTTGGGATCAGGGCACATTCCACGCGAACAATCCAGTAAGAAATTTCCCAGTACGACTGGGGAATTTCTTTTTCTCACTCTTTTGAACTCCTTTCTCGCCTGTATGAATCAAAGACTGAGGTCCAATTCGGCTAGTGAAGATGGGACATGAAGGACAAAAAGGGGAAGGAAAAAGGAAAGAGAGAGAAGCTCTATAATTCAAGAGCTTCATATCGACCAAGCTGTCATAGACATGTTGCTCCCATCTTTTGATATTGCTGTCTCTCTCTCGCCCTCCCTCCCTTCCTGATTGTCCACTCACTCGCAGGCTGCCTTTCTGTCGGTTGCAAAATGGTGTGGAATCGAAAGACGGAGTCAGAGACTCCAAGTCCCTCTTACCTAGAGAAACCTGGGAACAGGTTTTTCAAGTAATTGATGTCTCAAAATTACATATTTTACTGCTGCGAAGTAATACAAAACAGTACTTACGCTAGTTTTCTAATTACCAAATCAGCAATAATTTAATTATTCAAGGAAATCAGGTGACTAAAGTCAGACACATGTTTGCTCTCCGTTGGGCCAGCAGAAGACGCCAGATGCATAGAAAGACTTCCACTCCTTTCACTCTCTCCACTACTTTAGACTGTGAAGTCATGAAACGGTTACTATAGGATTCCTTTTCCTGCTACATTTAACTGCTATTTTTTCTCGACTAATTTGGAATGGAAAGGAAGCGGTATTAAATGAGGCACTATAAGACACTTTTCGTGATTGCAAAAAAAGAATTGCCAAAAATTTCCGGGTGGCTACCTATTTCCCCGATGAATCTGTTGGTAAGTTTGTCTTTGAAACGAGAAAGGAGTGGATATGAAGACGGTGTTGCTGCTGGACGACTCGGCGCGGCCGATGGACTTGGCGGCGATTCACACGGAAGGAAAGTTTTGTCTCCGAATGAGGCCTGGGGGTGGGACCCTAGATATCTACGATCCTGCCGCCGCCTCTGCTGCCGCTCTCTCCGACCACGTACGACGAGGTCTATCTCGGCCACATAAAAGCCCCAATTTAGGACCGGCTTATTGCCTTCGTGCCCTTTTCCCATTGCAGTCTCATTTCAAGAGCCTGTTCGTGTCCGAGAGGACGACAGCCGAACAAGTGATTCGACTCTTGCTCGACGGCTACGACAACAAGGACGACGAGAAACACTTCTCACTCTACGAGGTACCCCCGCATTCCATGCCTATCGTATGAGAATGGATGAGAGATATCGATGAAATCCATTTCGGGCTGCAGCAGCCGATAGGAAATGAAAGGCCGAAGGGAAGCGGAAAGTGAGGAAATCGATTCGGCTTTAGATTCGGAACCTCCTTGCATAATTAACTTCCCCTCCCCGAGGAAATTGAAAAAAAGCGAGCCATTGAATGATGTCGTTTCGTCGTTGAAAGGGGGAGAAACGAATGTGTTCTCACTCGGCCATTCTATGAATCTCCTCCAGGAATTTCCGCTTCCCTCCGTCGATTTTACGTGCATGCTCAACGACGAATTGTTGAAATCATTTGGAATGAAAGGTGCATCGAGGAGGAGGAAGAGTGAGAGAGAGGAGACTGGATCCATCGGATTGCCCCCTGGTCCTTAGTCGAAGATGGCCCCATCCCCACAAATACTCTCTCGTCCTCAAACCACAATCCTCTGGCAAGCGCAGACGCACCGTGAGTAACCCGGCAAGGATATTTCTCATTTAGTCGAGAGATTGACAAAAAAAGAGAAAACCACCGAGCCGTGGAATGGGGAGCTTGGTCATTGAGGGAGGAAATGAGGCGAGCTTCCACTTTCACGTGATGATGATGGCGAGAGATGAGAGAAACAATGAGGATCGTGGTGGGAAAGAGAGGTAGGACGATAATCGTAGGGGGAGAAACAGGGGAAGGAATAGAGTCTTACCCAGGTGGGGAATGAAAAAAGGGACCGGGATGACATTTTTAAATGTTCTTCTCAGCGGGATTCCGGAACAGTGAGTTTCCTCTTCCCTTGCCATTCCTACGAAATAATTCCCATCCTCACGTCCCCTGAAAGTAATTATAGTTCCAGCTACAAGATTAATAATGGTCTGTACGGTATCCTTTATGCGGTGTAATGCAGTACATAAAAGTTGTAATCTATACTACACAGTGGCCTTATAATGTTCGTGCGGCATGGATGTGCCGTGTTTATAAGTATGTATATAAGTACATAATGTATTTGCAGCTGCCGTGGAGCGCGAGCGACCTTGCGGAGAAGCACAAGTGGATGACGTCAGAGCCGGAGACAGACGTCGACGCGGAGGAAGCACTCTTTTACATTTGAATCCCAATTGGAATATCTTCGAACCTAGTCATTGCACGTCTCTCTTCATTTCCCTTTATCCAATGAAACCCCTCCTGATACCAAGCACCTCGCTTTCTTATTTTCTTTCTCCACCTTCCGTCCTCCAAGAAAGAAAGAGGAAGAGTGCAGCATGAAAGATCCACTCTCCTCAAATAGCCGGCAATTGATTTCCTATGAAGTGTCAGGAAGAGGAAAAGAACGACCCTGCTTCCCGAGGAAACCTTTCCTGTCCCTGAGTGAGTGACAGTTTTGAACTCGGTCATATTCGGGGAAAGAACGTATGAGGAGTCGGGGTAACCTAGTTTGGCAGGGGACCAGCTGGACCCCTGTCAAACATGACCCTTTTCCAGCGCTCATTAAAAGCAGAAAGGAGCTCACATCTTCATCTGTCTCTTTTCTTCCCTCCTTCGATGAAGGCAATGAGAAAAAAAGAACGAAGAAAAAAACACCATCCACTTTCATACATTTTTCGGGGAAATCTCATCCTATCTCCAACCAGGGGCTGGGAGTAGGTGCTTCCATACATGATGTAAAATGAAAAAAGCACATAAAACTTGAGAAGACATCACGGCTCAACCATGTAGTTAGGATGGACGACAAGGAGAGGATCATCCTCATCTTCGACGGCATCATCAGAATCTTCCAGCCCCATACGCGTCAGCGGAATGATCACGCGATCCTGTCCAGTTACACATCCCATCGGCATCATCATCGTGCGAACGAAAGGGGGTGGAGATAAGAAGAGAGAGAGAGACTCACGTGATAGATGAGACGATCCAGGACCTTCTCCACTATCGCCTTCTTCTGTACCAGTTCGGCTTCGCTCTCTATCTCCTCCTGGATCTCTTCTAGGTACCAGTTCACCACTTCACTCTTCTTTAATCCTCCACCTTCTCCTTCACTCTCTCCAACTTCTGCAAAAGAAACTCAACTTATGACCACTCTCCCAATAAATCGTACCACAGCAGAGCAACAGAAACATTCGTCATAATTCAGTTATGGGACAGACAGACAAATGAAAGGAACGGGAAGTCAGCTCTGCTCATCTCTCTCATATACAAACGTTCCAAAAGGGCAGCAACACAACTACAGCTATTCTAGGCTAAAAACACTGTAGTAAGCCAACACAACAAAAACAAAAGCTGCATGCAGCACAATTGAAATAAAGTGAATCAAGTGAGAATATACAGCACATAAAGCTACTGTATATACAGGGTAGCACAAAAGTTATGCATTTTTGACTAGCTACACTTTCCTCACGTAATTCTTAACAAACAAAACATAAACTTGTCATACTTGTTTCAGTAGTTAATACATCAGTAATTGGTCATTTGACCACCAACAGCAGCTGCAGCCTTGATCCTCCCAGGGAAAGATTCGATGAGGTTTTCCAGCATGGCCAGCAGGACTGAATTCCACATTTCGGTGAGTCAAGTTACCAAATCTTCCCTGTTTTGGAGGCAAGGAGCTTCGAGGATGGAATCTTGCAGTATGGCCCACGTGTGCTCTATTGGTGAAAAGTCCGATGATACACCAGGCCAAATTCCTTTGGACCAGACATTCTGAATTTCCTCCCTCAGCAGCTGCAGGTTCTGGCCAGAACTGTGGCCTGGGGCCCCATCCTGCAGAAAAGTGACCTTCCTTGGTCTTCCAGTCCAGACTTCCTGTCTACTTTGATGCCCTGAAGGATCAGAAGCTGTTTCCAAACCCAAAGGTCACTTTCCAGCAGGATGGGGCCCCAGGCCACAGTTCTGGCCAGAACTGTGGAATATATCTTAATATCTTGGAAGAGCATTGTAAGATTGGGAAGGCTGCCAATAATGAGAAAATATAAAACCAAAAAACAGTATGCAGTGAATGACTGCATTGCACCCCATAGGAGCTGCTGGGCACAGGAAGGTAATGCTTCCCAGCACTCATCGCAAGCTGGTCAGTAGGAAAGGGAAAAGCAAAAAACATAGTCTTCTTATGAAACCAGATGGTGACCCTGGCTTTATATAGGTCATGCCTACATAAGTATATTTTATTTGAGAACCAGGAACACACTGATCTGTAACCAAACAGGAATGCATGAAATGCCCTTCCCTGTCTGTCAATGTTGACATCAGTAATAGCTTGGGTTATAGGATTTCTATCAGTAAAATAAAGAAATAAATCAAGTAGATGTATATAAGTCTTCTGGACTTGTGCATTTAGAAAATTTGAGTCCTTTCCAGAAAATATTAATCAGGCACTCCTCATGGCGAGTTAACATGAACCCTGCAATATGCAGGAATATGCTAAGTAATGAGATGACAGACCTTCAAAATTAGCTTCTGCTCGGCGCATGTGCATGATGAGAAGATTAGAGAGAGTACGGTATTCATTGTAAGACAGTTTGAGCTTTTGCTTCTTGTCAGCTGAAGGCTCCTGAGTAGAAGGGGTTACCAGGCCTTCTTCCTCAGAGATATCAGCTTCCATCATTGCAGCTTCAATGGCAGCATCTTCCTCCTCCAGGTCAATTTCAGGCTGCTCTACCCGAATGATGGATTTGTTCAGCAGACGATAGGCCTCTTTCACGTGCTTTGGCTGGACCTGAAAACACCACAGGACCAATGGTTGTGAGCAAGCAAAGTCAGATATCATACCAGTAACATAAAATTCAAGGGAGAAATAATAAGAGACATAGGACCTCGTCAGAGCAGTGGAGTCGAGCCATGGCTTCTGCAAGTCGAACCATGGACTCTAACTGTCTGACAGTGATGCGCCATGCAGATCGACTGCTGCTTGCATCTCGCTGCCTCAACTGCTTGTATTGCTCCACTAAAAAAGTTCCAGCTTCCTACAATCCAAGACAATACAAGACAGGGTATTATTGGGTAATTAGGGCTAGAGTACAGTGCAGTGTACAGTGACTCCATAACAGATACCAAGCAGAAATAAGAGATGAATAGTATCAGTGTGAATAGTTTGAATAGTGCCAAATTCACTCTAAGAGATATTGCCTATACAAATCCACCACCTGTCAAATCACAAATGCACTAAGTGCATTTCAATTTGGAAAACTTTGTTTTATAAACATTATTAGCATTGCAATTCATTCATTGAAAAAATGGTGGCATAGTGGATGTGAGCTATTTAGCTGAATTTTTCTCTTACAGTTTGGTTTTCAATAGAACTGGAATAATCATGACAACAACAGCCAGTGGGCATACATTTTCTTTTGGGATAAAGGCTTTTCATTGCACCACATGCATGTGGTGTTTTTAAACCACTTCTGTCCACTCAACAGTAAAACAAGAGCATGTCTGGGACAAAGAAACTTTCACTTCTTTCAGGGTTCAAGTACAATTCTCTGGCATAGGATTCAAGTGCACCCTCCAGTTTCTTGAAATCCTGGAGATGCTATGATTACCCCATTCTATGACTTTTTTCTGAGATAGCTTTGCAGATATTTTCATGGGAATAACTGAACTCATTGCATGCATCAGGACCCACAGCAACTCAGGCCTGTCTTTGTATGACTTATGAAAATGCCCACCTTTTTGCAATACTCTATGGATAATATGACACACACTGACTCTCATGAGTGTGAGACCTAAATGAGCTGGAACATATCCCAAGGTGTTACCAACACAGTTGAGATGAATTTACATATTGCTCATCTCAAAAGCCACACAAAAATCTATGGGTGCACGGATGAACACCATCAGTCTCTACTACAAGGGGATAATGTGTTTGTGGCTCATTTTTTCCACTTTGCAAATGGCTTTTCAAACTAAAACTAGATTCATTGGTTTTTTCAATAATTAAGTAAAAAATTCAGTAATGAAATGGGACAAAAACCTTAAATCCTTTTCCACCTGTAAAATCAATGCACAGTGTTGGACAGGAGATACTGTATTACCTTTGTCAAGCGAGGCTTGAACTGGCGAGCAAACATAATATAGCGCTGGATGTCCTCCTGACTGTAGACTCTCTCAATACTCTCTTCATTCTTGCAGTGCAACTCCACAATCCGCCTTGCAATTGCATAGTCAGTGATCTACAGCAAATGCACAAATTTCATAACCCTCCACTTGGGAGTAATCAACAGTAGCACCAAGAAAACACCTTAACCCCCCTCATGAGTATACCAATGACCACATCACTGCTTAGTTCTATGCCTTTATGAAACAGCAAGTATTTAGAAGTCAAGGGAAGACTCACTTCATTACACTCATCAATAAGGACAAAGAAGAGGTCAAAACGAGAGAGGATTGGTGGAGAGAGATTGACATTTTGCTTGAGAGAACGGGTGCGATCATATCGACCCCCAATAGGATTTGCTGCAGCCAAAATTGATGTCCGTGCATTCAGGGTTGCCCTCACTCCAGCCTGCACATGTCCAAAACATTCTAAATCTCATCATTTTATGCATAGAACTAACCTTCAAGGGAAGATTAAAAAAGTGACCTTTGTGATGGAGATAGTTTGCTGTTCCATAGCTTCATGTATGGCAACCTGGTCCTTGGGATCCATTTTATCAAACTCATCAATGCAACAAACCCCATTATCTGCAAGCATGAGAGCACCTGCCTCAATCACAAACTCAGCTGATTCTTCATCCTTAACGACAGCTGCAGTGAGACCCGCTGCACTTGATGCCTTCCCACTTGTATATACTGCTCGAGGTGAGAAATCAGATACCTGCAATAACAGTATGCTATTATAATAAAAAGCCTTACATTTCTGTCCATGAAAGTGCTCAGAAAGAAATGCAGATAGGAAAATGGATAACCCAGCTGGGGCCCTACTTGTTTAAGGAATTGAGACTTTGCAGTGCTGGGATCTCCCACAACGAGAACATTGATATCTCCACGAAGTGTGGTTCCTTCCATAGTTGTCTTAGGAACTCCTCCAAACATCTGCAGCAGAATCCCTCGTTTGATCTCATCATTCCCATGAATTGTTGGAAAGAGACTTGTGATGAGATTTTGATAGAGGTTCTTGTCACGGCTCATCTCATAGATGCGGTTCCACTCCGTCTCAGTCATTTGTTTCTTCAGTGCCTCTGCAGTCAGCTCCTCCCCCAGCAGCTCCCTCCCTCCAAACTGAACATGATTCAAAGTCATTGTTATCACAAGCAAAAGGATTAAAAGGGGTGGGATGGGAGGGGAGAGTAAAGTGACTCACACGAGGACTGGTAGGCTGAACGGAACATGCCAGGAAGGCCATGCGATAATTAAGTTCCCTGACCCCAAGAGCTTTGAGACCCTTAACTCCTTCATTTTCCATCCCTTCTCCTCTGTGCCGAGCCGAACTCTCGGCTCTTGCCCCCGGCATGGAGAGGGCACCAACATCAGGAACGACAATCAAAGTCCCAGTGAAGTCACATCTGTCTCCAGCTTGGGCACTCTCAACTGCTTCAGCTCTTAAAATCACTTCAACACTGCAAGGGATCCACACCATAGATCTCATTTACTTCCACATCTATCAGATAAGTCACAAAGAGAAACATAATATGACCAAGGTAAGACCTGCGAGGAATACATCCACGGGGTAGCTCAGCCTGAACCTCTTGAATTCGCACCTTCTGGAAGTCCACAAACTTGGACTTACTGGTATCAAGGAGGAATCGAGAACGATTTGAGCAGACTGGATTGCGGCAAATGGTTGGTTGAGTGTACTAAAACCAAGGAAAACAATACTCCTTTTAGCTGACCAATCTTTATCTTTTTTGTGTATGAATCACTTAACATAATTTCTAGGCCCTTGATAAGCATACCTTAAACTGCTGCTCAACATTTGGGATCACAGTCTGACAGTCAAGGCAAGTGAATGTCCCAGAAACAAGTTCAGGGTGAACAGGATGTGTGCGAACTACTTGTCCTGTAATTCTCAGCAGAGACCCAATCTATGGAGTCAGAGAAGAACTCATATCACACAAATAAAAGAGAAAATAAATAAGTTCTCTTGCATACACATATGTAAACTTTGTAATCTGTTACCTTCACAGTTGTCAGTTCTCGAACTTTGTGCCGAGGCAGAACATCAATGAATGCCACATATACCTCTTTGTCAAGCTTCACTTGAAAGCGGTCTTGCAAGAAGTGTTTAAGGGATTGGCTCAGAAACAACAACACCCTGTGAAGGGGAAATACAAAACAAAAATAAAAACACTCAATATTTTAAGAGTAGACCACCATATCATCACTGCACCACAGAACAGAGTAGACAATTTAAAAGCAAGGCACTGAACCAACAAAATTATTTCCTCAGTTCTGGGGGCATCATATCTTTCCAGGTTTAGTTATCTCACCAGGCTTTCTCATGGCAGCAAAAGCATCATTGGTTATGCACAAGTTCATAAATTTTATTAGGAAGTCCATAAAATGTACAAGACCATGACCAATATGAACATGACCATGGAAAAAGGCCACAGGTAAAATATACTTTTGCTTCTTTTTGTCCAAACTCATCTCTTCCATTTCTTCCTTTTCCTGCGTGGAAAATACTAATTAATTTCAAAAGTCTGCTTGGTTCTTTTTTTTATATCCTGATGAAAATCAATAAAGTATTCATATCAATCTTATTTCTTTATAAAATCCTTTGTTTTTCCTGGGAGGCTAAAAATACTGGTTACTGTTACAGTAGACCCTCATGCTTACTGAGATACCACACACCATAAAATTTTCAATATCAGTATCGCTACTTCTCTAGATTCTATGATTATCACACACATGAAAATATCATATATGACAGTTGTAGTTATCTGTACTGTATATATTTATATTTTTCCCACATATTGATACATTAAGTTACATACATGGGTCAATTTGAAAGATCTTGTAAGAAGAAATGAAGGGAAAATTCTTCAAGCCCTCTCATTGATATAATGGATTTCTAGGATACTTGTGTAAAAGTTCCATTCTATTTCATGAAAATTTAGTGAAATTAGAGCACTTTGAGTGGATGTAGGTAAGAAGGTATCATGTGGGAGCAATTCTCCCCAAAGGCAGTCTTGATGCATCACCACCTTCATGCTATCACTTTCTATACCTGGAAGAAAGCTTTCTCAGCTGATGCTTGCCTGAACAAAAAGTTTAAGGTTCTTGGCACAAAACCCCTTCATGTGCAATGGAGTTCAAATGGTGAACTTGTCTTTCTAGACAATATAGATATACCAGAGGCATATATTATATCTGCTGCTCCATATCTTTCATATACGCGGATTTCATTAAGTTGATACAAGGCCCTGCTATATATGATCATATACCAATTGTTTCAAAAAGAAGATATAATCAGATATATTTCCCCATATATATGCCCCTATATTATCATATATGAAGAATCATGTGTCACACTTATCATATAGGACTACTAAAAAAATCATGATTTTTCTGTATGGCCAGATCAGATATTTCTGACTAAATTTTACAGTTTAACCAATAACATAAAAATTATGGTTTTTGAAAGAAGGCTGAATTTAACAGGTTCCAAAAAATATTGAAGACAAATGCTTTTTTCTGAATGTTGTTCTCTGTGGATTACAGGAGCTATTATCTGATACAGACCACAAAGGAACTGAACTTACTAGATATTACACATATGCATGAGAAAGACCGTCCTCACCTGCAACATCTAGCTTCAGTTATTAAGGAAAGATAGTTCCTAGCTGATACGCTCCTCTTATCAAGGTAATAAATGGCAGGCAAATACATTCGATGCTGCTTTTGAAATTCCTGTCATCTTTTAGGTGAGTGCATGGATCTCCATTAAATTTTAATGTCACTCACTCCTGTCCATTCTTCTTGTTTTTGGAATGCTGATTGAAATTATGACTAGAAAATCTAAATGCAATCGTTAACTATTTGACAGCAAGACCTAGAAAAGGCTGGTTGAAAATGGCAAACATGTTATAAACCATCCTGTGAACCCCACATGTGGATTCACGGACCAGTGCAATGCCATCTGTGACAGTCTAGAACTTTCATAAGTCTCACAGTCAAGTGATTAAAAAAGTGTCTGATCAGAAAATCTGTTTGCACATATCATCACTGTGCTTCAATAAAAAAATTGGGTTGTCATCATTTCTTGTAATTGTGAGTGTCTTTGAAAACCCATAAGTCAAGATGTTCAAGAACTGCCTGGTCAAAAAAAAGCACACTGTATAATGGTCATGCTGGCACATTGATAAATGTACATGTAATTAATCCTTGGGAGGGAAGGCTTTATCAAGACAACCATCAATTTTCTAATCAAATGTTTAAAAATACTTGCATATCCACAGTCTCTTGATTTATTTCCATCTGCTTTCACAGAAACAAGGACAATGGACAAGAGCACAACATTAACATTTCATGAACATCCATGTCTACTGAAAAGACATGGAATTTTAAAAGTGACCAATATAGCATTACTTTTGGTAACCTAGTAGACGTTATTCATCGACAACTTGTCATAGATATGACATACAGTCATGTATGTATTTGTTCTAACATGCTCATACTAAGATCTACATAATTTCCATACGAGGGCCATGAATATGTTGCATATAATTTAGATTGGGAAACACTGGTCTTGATCACCACCCCCGTAAGTATTGACATAATGACAACATACCTATAGTACTCCTCCTGGATGGTAGTGGCAAGAGTCTGGTTGAACCTTTCAACATCTTCAAAGTTGACTTCCAAAATATTCCGCTCTGGCTTTATAAGCTCCCTTGCTTTTTCCAAATACTTCAGGCTTCCTCCTTCTTCCCATCTATCAAAAGAAATAGAATACGAGTAGGTCACTTTCTAAAAGGGAGCAAATGACAAAAACAATCACAGGCCAAGCTCTTGGCTAGAAGCAGACAGCTGAGCTTAGGATGGGCTGAGGCTTGCTGGCACATAATAGTATAAAGGTCACAAGGTAATAAAAATTATATTGTCAATTGTGAGCTTACTCTTCCAAGAATTCCTGGAAAAGCTTCTGACAGCGGTCTCCAATGTTATCTCGTACATGAGTTAGGCCTGTCTGGCTGTCTGCCACATCCATTGTTCCCTTTTTTGTGACACACAAGGACCCTTCTGGACTTGATATTCACAACACCATCAAAGCCTACACACAGAGGTGTTGTTCAATTAGTGCACAACTGAACACCATCATCATTCCATGCACACTCATTCATACAAATGCATTCTTGGCCCACTGAAATTATGCCACATATGGAAAGAGCATTTATAGTAGTAAAAAATGAAGCTATCTGTGCCATATATATGCATATTTTCCCACATGTTGATATTATAACTACATATATGAGAGCATATTTGGTGGAAGTATATGATCCATGATTCAAACATTGAACATACTTGGAATGCATGTATATGAATATGCAATTCTTATTTATGAATTTGAAGTTAGCAAAATTATCAATAGATGTCTTTAAATTTGTCAAAGGTTTTAAGTTTAGGTTTTTCTTGTAAACCCATGAAGTCCATGTTCCATTGCAGAAATTGTGCTTGCCAAATATCCAGAGGCCATGGTATCTGACAAAGCTCAGCTCTCAATGAATGATGGAAGGGTTGATGGAATAGGAAGAGGAATAGTACACAAGATGAACAAGCTGAAGATCCCTAAATGAAAATACAAGTAGCACCTACATAGAGAACCTACAGCAATTACTTCTCTTCTTATTCATTCCTTAATGCTAATTGCAATTGCACAACTTGATGAATCAGGGTTTCTAATCGTAGCACAATTTGGAATTAAAATTGAATTTTTGTTTGCATCCAGCACATAAGGGAGGCATTTGGCATATTTTCAATGTCTTTGAAGTGACAGATAAAGTGCCAAGTCTCAATGTAGCTCCTGGTCAGTTTTGACATTCAAACAAGATTTGCGAGGATATATCCTACATACATCTTTCATTAAGTTCATGAGTCCACATATGATCATTGTTCCTAATAGAAGATATGATCAGATATATTTTCCCACATATTCCACATTTATCATATATTCCTACATCTCAAAAAATCATACATGATTTTTCCACATGACACATGCATACTAAATGTGGGAGAACACAGTTATGAATGCCTAAGTACCCTTCTCCATGTCCTTACTGTTTCCATCAAAAAAGACAAGGAGACCACAGAACAAAGAGGCCCTATGGCTACAGTGTAAAAGAGGCTTGTGTACAATCTTACGCAAGCAAAGTTTCACATCTTCACCCATAATTTCAGTTCCCATCTCTGATGCCCCAATAGATAGCACATTGTAACATAAGGAAAGGCAGGAACACAAGATATTGACATGAAAGCCCTGTGGTATGCCAAAGGTAGTGGTTTCCCGTCATATGCATTCAGAATAATGCCAGATAAAAGAATGCTGATGTGACTGAAAAAGAATACTTTTTTTTAGAAAAGTTTGAGCAGTCTAGGCATTCCTTGTTAAAACACTTACTCAAGCCTAGTGGGTTAAAAATGAGACAGTGTGAGAATGGCATAGAGAAAGCTCAAATGTCCATATCAAGGTAATAGAACACTAAGTGAGAGAAGGAAGACATATTGCTATCCCCATATCGTGCCTGGCAGGAGTTGTGATGGATCTCTGTAAATGGTTCATGTCTACCATAGTATTATTATTATTTTTTTTTTTTAAATCCCAGATCAACTTCCTCCATGACAACTGCAAGAGTAAATCCTCTAAGGGGTTGCCACTTTGGCTTTGACCTTGATTAGCTCACTGGGTAGGAAGAAGTTCCACACAAGGATTTCAGCACGGCTCCACTTGTGAAAAGTGATACCGGTGGAGGTAAGTGGTAATGTAAAAATTAGCACATAATGAAAAGCACGATGTGATAATGGCACTTCAAGGGTCAAGGCGCGTCATCTCAGAACTCCGCGAAATTGCGAACTCCATACGGTGAAATCGGATTGACTTCGTAGATCCCTTGAAAATTCGTACTAGGTTAGGCCCCATTGAATCAACTCGAGTACGGAGTCGTTATAAATTCACCTTCATAGGCCTACATCCCAACCAGGCTCTAGTCGGCATACTATACCTAATGCGAAGCGAGTCGATAAGGATTTTATCATTGCACGTGGTCACAGCAGTGGTATGATCCCTGGAATAGGTATATAAAGGACCATGACAGCAGGTAAGCCTAAGCAGATAGTTTGGCGGGCTAGAACATAGACGTGCACACAAAGCGCGCTCACAGGGTTGCCATACATTGAAATACAATAGACCAATAGTCAAATCAAATTAAATCGCTTTTTATTCAGGATGAAGTCTGTAAATGAGATTTCCAGGATTTATACAAGGTGATTAACTGCATGTTTATTAGATCTGATGATGAGAAGTATAGGTAATACGCAAGAAAGTGAAACATGTTTGCATTAAGGTGATACGGGAAGGAAAATCTATAGGTCTGAGATTCCAAATTTTCTATTTAAATCTGATGTAGGGGGTCTCACAAATCCTAGAAACCACTTTCTCACCTTCCTATCACTTATACTTAAGCCACAAGTCTTGTCCAAAGTCGCCGCTAGATGGCAATCGAAGAACAATGTTTAAAGGGATCATAGCATCCGAACTCTGATCCGAACCGCTGGACGGATCTCCATGAAATTTTCATCATTACAAAGCTCGGAAAGTTCTCTACAGAAGGAAGCCAAGTTGATTGCCATGTTTCCCCCTCAAAGGTTATGATAATTTTTTCTTCGAGCTCTGGATTTTCGTTAATTAGTTTTTCCACCGTCGTTTCAGGAAGAGATTTATTTCAGAGATATGCATATTACCGGTTTTGGGGAACACCTACCTCCATCCCTGCACCAAGTTTCCTGAGAATCGGTCAAGCCGTTTTTCCGGAAAGTACTCAGATATCGCCAAAAATTAGCACTTTTCAATGCGTCCATCCCTTCTTGGCGTTTTACTCTCGTTCAAGGATGAAAATGCAAAAAGTAATCAAACCATTTCATATAAGAGATTCTCCTGAGTGAATAGAGCTAAGAATTACCATCATCAGTACTTGGTACGTCGAGAAAACAACGTTTCAAGCATAACATCTCATCTGGGTCCGAGGCTGTTCCTCCCTAGGGAATCACTCCCTGCACGTGGGTCATTGCGCAAGCACCTAGCCTTTACGCAGGCGACAGTGGCGTGCATTGTTGGTGTTGAGACACAACTGTATCTCCTCAACCTCACGCTTGAGGAGAGATCCGCTTTAAGGCTAATAATTCCTCGTCTCTGCTGTCTCACTCCCAGGATATCGCACTAAGATTCGCTTATATCTTTTTTCAAAGCCGAATGCGTGCCCTGTCTTGGGTTATTATATTTCGGAGAGCCAAAAGGAGGACACCTTCATTCATCCAGGGAATATTTATTTTGATTCATTATTAATCCCAAAGCAGTATTGCATTAGGAGAGCATTGCTGTCATAACCATTTGGAGCTGAAAATTTAGTTCAACCAAAAATGAGGTTGTGCACTCATCGCTCATACAGAGAATCGTTATTCTATTGCGAAGAAAATCCGAATGGCTTTTGAGGACGCAATGGTTCTCGAAATGTTTACTAGACCTTGACACATTCAAATTTACTTAAAATTGAAAAAAGAAGCATGACGAAGCAGCAATTTCCTGGAAGAGTTTTGAAAATATTTAATATAAATTACGTTATAAAAGTACTATTTTGCTACATTTACATTACATTTACGTAGTTTTGCAACGATTCTGAAGCTCCTTTTAAAGAAATAATACATAACTTCTAATAATACTAATCATAAATAGCTTTGCATAGATGCAATTTGCAACTAGAGAGTTCCAGCCCAGGTACAGATCTTCCCTTCCAATGGCCCCATTACCACTGGAATTATCTTCTTCGCCGCATCCTAATCATCCAACCTAGAAATGAATAATACTGGTAGCTGTCATTGGAACGCATAAGCCTATACAGTATTTTAAAAAAAAAGGGCCTGGAAAACTAGACATGTTCTTGATGTCTAGTTTTCCAGGCCTCGAAGTCAGAGGTCACAGACGTTTTGCATTTTTCTTCGCGAAAGATAAGCAAATTTGTTTTTCTTAAATTTAATATAAAATTGCTAATTTTTATACGTTTGTTTGGGTTTGTGACCAGTATCATGTGAACAACGTCTGTGAATGGATGTTCTTCTAACCGTTGTGTACATTTAATTAGAAATAGAAATCTAAAATGTTTGAAAATGTAAGAGATCACTTTATTCTAGGGCTGTCAACTGATTAGATTCATTAACCGAATATTTGATTAAATTTTAAATCGCGATTTAAAAAATTTGTCGAAATTAATGGCATTTGATCCCAAATCTCCCTCTGAATACCTCTTGCTTCTCTTAAAGTTTGACTGTGTAGTGCATCTAATACTTCGACTGAAAGAGGCCGAAAGTTGTGGTGGTTGTCACTCCTAACCCCAAAGGCCTAAGGTGCTATGCAATTCCAGGCCATGGGCCAGCCCATCCACGGCCCAAAGCGCCTGGCCTACTAGGCTCTGCCATTCTGGGCCATTGGCCAAGCCATAAAAATTGAAAAAGGCCGAAAGTGGTGGTGAATGGGTGAATGGTTGCAGTGGCGTAGGGAAGGGGGGGTTTAGGGGGTTAGAACCCCCCCCCCTGGGCTTCCCAGTCAGTGACACTGACAGGTATATTTCAACCTTCCTTGGGAATTCCAATTTTAGCATTACCCATTGAGGAAAGTCTGATGTCCGTCCACAGACCCAAGATGCCATGCCAGACCATGATTTCTTTGAAAAGGTAAATTCCGGGTAGTGGAGCTAGGCGTAGGGTTGGGGTGTCTACCTGGCCTCAACCCCNGTAGTGGAGCCAGGCGTAGGGTTGGGGTGTCTACCTGGCCTCCCCCCCCCCCCCCCCTTGCCGATTTCCTGCCTACGCCACTGAATGGTTGTCACTCGTCTGCGGCTTAACACGCAGAGCCTACAAGGCTATGCCATTCTAGGCCATAAAAGCTTAGGTATACTTTTAAAAGATTCACCTTGTAGATGGCAATGTTTGGTTTGAACCGAACCGCTTCATATCTTTATATAAACATTTTCACATTTCCGCCCATTAGACGGCCAGCGTAGGGCCGCAGGCC